GCGGTCTTTGGGAATTTATCAGGTTGACCGGCGCAGGAGGAACTTCGGTTCCGGGTTGACCCAGGTGTTGTTCTTCACGAACGCGATACACAGCACCGGAACAGGCCTGAGCTATATGGGGATAATGATAGTGGCGTGCACACTTCCGGTGGCGGCGATCCACTTCCCGCAGTGGGGGAGCATGTTCTTCCCTCCATCAAAGGGTGTGGTGGAAGAACATTACTACATCAAAGAGTACACTGAGGATGAGAGGGAGAAGAATATGCACCTCGGCAATATCAAGTTCGCCGAGAACTGCCGGTCTGAACGCGGCGGCAACCGTGTGGTTTCGGAGGCCACACCACCACATGCTTGAATATTGTTTTAATTTATTGTATGTTTGAGTTTGAATGTTTGCATTTGATTGTTTTTTTTTTTTTTTTTTAAGAACGTGATGTCATTCTGTTATGACACATGGTTTCTCTACGTCTGTTTTTGTGGTCAATGTCGACAACTTTGATGTTTGGAGTTTTCCAAAGACTTGGAATGTAACTCATTCATGACAATGATCATTTATTCATACATAACTCTCTCACCCTAAATTCAATCTAGCTAATTCATGTTCAATTAAAACACCAATTCAGATGACTACATATCTAACTCTATAAAATTTGAGTTGCTGCAAAATTTATTGATGATCGAGTAAAGCACATGCAGAATACATCGATCGTATCGGAGAAAGTGTTGATGAGAAGTTAGTGTTGAATGACCATCTCAACCAAAAACTTAAGCTTTTAGTAAAATGCATCATTTAATATTAATATTTACACATACGGCAGTGATGGTGCTCAACATTCGCACATTCAAGATCTCCTTCTAAACCCTACTCATTAGGTCGTCAAAAGCTCAACGCGCGTCAAATGAAAGGCCGGTGACGTTAAGACAATGGACATAATATAGTAAAGTTGGGCCGATTACGCCAGCTCCCTAACCGAGGCTAACATTCTCTTCGGCCCATTTTGATTATGATATACAAAGCCCATTTTAAGGGCCCATTTGGGCCTCCAATACATATAAACTCCTTCAGCCCAACTTACATTTTACCTCTCCGGTTCGCTTGCTTAGGCCCAGTCGAAGCTTTGTCAAAATGGGCCACATCAGATAGTTTCGGACTTTATCACATTTAACTACTATTTATATGCATGTTAGAGTCTAATTAAAGCTTCTTTGCTAACTCTATTTATTTATTACTAATCGTCTAAGTTGTTGATCGAATTTTGAAGTTTGTGTTGTCGGTCCCATGTTTTATTTGTTGTTGTTCATATATAATTTGAAGTAACTGCAAAAAGTATTCATGTGTAATTTCAAAATTGTGAAAAATCATCTGAATAAACAAACTAGCAATATAAAAAATTGTTATTTCTTTCTAAATAATACACACAATCCATTGTGATTTTAGTCATTGATTGAAGGTAAAATGACAAATATACACTTTAATAAAATAAAACAAAATTAGAATAACATAAAATAGAGGCCAATTTAAATCAAAAAAAATAAAATTATAGGCCAAATTACAATTTATGCTAAATTTATGAAACTTTAATTAGGGGACTTGATTGCAATTTCCCCAAAAACCATTACACATGAGATTGATGCCGGCTGGCCACTTGGAATTTGGTGGGGAACGGAGGAATCGTCGTTGGAGTTGCCTTAATTCGCGTTTCCGGCCGACGGGTTGGCGGATCTGCAGCCAGCGTTCATCTCAAACGCCGCCGTTTTGCCGTTGAAGCTCCGGCTGGCGAATGTGGACGGTGAGCGGAGGAGGAGCAGGAGTCTCGGTAACTCGAATCGTCGCTAGTGGTCGCCGCCGCCGGAGAAGCTTTGAAGCTCCCGATGCAACCTCCGCCCAGCTCACGGAGGATGAAGGCAGGGTAAGCTCATTGCAACCAATTATTCGCTATCTATAAATCATTCTCAATTTCTGCAGGCAGTTCTTCTTCTATTTTACTAAATTAATTTATAAATCTATAACTCCTAAATAAGAGAAAAAAATTATTATTTAATTTGTGTGGGGTAACAAGTAACAAATAATGTCATGATGATGCATACATACATACATGCATGTAGATAAGTGCGTGTACCGTAGAATCTTCATCCAGCTAATTAAGTTATGTGATCGTGGCAAGGACTAACAAATGTATGTATATATCCATGGAATCTTTCAAACAAGAAATTCAAGATTCTTTTCAATATGTTTAGAATATTCCCAGGGTGTTGAATGTTATATGCATCCTTTGGGATATACTATAAGGGCAAGGCCAACAGTGAGATGCAGAATTTTGCATTCTTTCTCATTAAACTAATTAATCTTTTGCTTCATTATTATGATTAGTTTAGCCTTAGATAATAACCCATTAATTAATTAAAAGCTAATAGAAAATGTCAAGGCCTAATACTATATAAACCGCCCGATTATCCCCTCATCTCCAGATATCAATCAACACATATCCTTCGTTTAAGAAAAAATGTCGAGTGAATTTGGAGGTTCTCCGGGGCATGGAGTCACCGGAAGAGAACCAATGCTGGCGTTTTCAGTGGCTTCTCCGATGAGATCGAACAACAAGGTGGTGAAGTTCGACTTGCCAGTGGACTCGGAGCACAAGGCCAAGAAATTCAAGCTCTTCTCATTCGCCAATCCGCACATGAGGACGTTCCACCTCTCTTGGATCTCCTTCTTCACCTGCTTCGTCTCCATGTTCGCCGCCGCCCCGCTGGTTCCCATCATCCGTGACAACCTCAACCTCACCAAGTCGGACATCGGAAACGCCGGAGTGGCCTCCGTCTCCGGCAGCATAGTCTCCAGGCTGGTGATGGGTGCCGTCTGCGATCTCCTCGGCCCGCGGTACGGCTGCGCGGTTCTCATTATGCTGACGGCGCCGCCGGTCTTCTGCATGTCCTTTGTCTCCTCCGCCGGCGGGTACGTGGTGGTCCGTTTCATGATCGGGTTCGCTCTTGCGACGTTCGTGTCTTGCCAGTACTGGATGAGCACCATGTTCAACGGTCAGATTATTGGGCTCGTCAACGGAACCGCCGCCGGTTGGGGGAACATGGGCGGCGGCGCCACCCAACTGCTGATGCCGGTTCTGTTCGCAATCATCAAAAGTGCCGGATACACGGCGTTCACCGCCTGGAGGATCGCCTTCTTCGTACCAGGTTGGCTCCACGTCATCATGGGTATTTTGGTCTTAACACTCGGCCAAGATTTACCCGACGGAAACCTCGGTGACCTTCAAAAGAAGGGAGATGTTGCAACAGATAAATTCGGCAGGGTATGCTATAATTTCTTTTTATCCAAATATATATATATATATATATATATATATATATATATATATATATATATATATATATATATATATATATATATATCTATATATATATATATATATTTGGTACATCCAGGTGGTATGGATGCTGTGACAATTACAGAACATGGATTTTCGTCCTCCTATACGGCTACTCCATGGGAGTTGAACTGACAACTGATAACGTGATTGCCGAATACTTTTACGATAGGTAAATCTACTATTACTCTTTGTTTGATATGTTGAATCGAAACCCTATTTCGTATATATTTTCCGAGTTGATCCACAAAATCAATTTATTCTTATTTTGGCTAATTAATCTAATTGTGACAATATAACTCGACAGGTTTGATCTACAGCTTCACACCGCGGGTGTGATAGCGGCATCCTTCGGCATGGTGAATCTCGTGTCCCGCTCGTTCGGCGGATTCGCATCGGATTATATGGCTCAACATTTCGGAATGAGGGGAAGATTGTGGAATCTATGGATCCTCCAAACAATGGGGGGAGTTTTCTGCATTCTCCTCGGAAATGCTGCGTCTCTTTCCCTCGCCATCACTTTCATGATCATCTTCTCCATCGGAGCTCAGGCCGCCTGTGGAGCTACTTTCGGGGTCGTCCCTTTTGTTTCGCGGCGGTCTTTGGGAATTATCTCGGGTTTGACTGGCGCCGGAGGAAACATCGGCTCCGGCTTAACGCAGTTATTGTTCTTCACAAACTCTGAACACAGCACCGGAACGGGGTTGATCTATATGGGGATATTGACAGTAGTGTGCACTATTCCGGTGGCTTTTATCCACTTCCCGCAGTGGGGGAGCATGTTCCTTCCGGCTTCCAAGGGCCTCGTTGAAGAACATTACTATATCAAAGAGTATAGTAAGGAGGAGAGAGAGAAGAATATGCACGCCGGCAATATGAAGTTTGCCGAGAACTGCCGATCTGAACGCGGGAACCGTGAGGGTTCCGCCGTGAAGCCGCCGCATGCTTGATTTCTAATTGTTTTTGTTGGAGTTTTTGAAAGTTTGATTCGGTTGGTTTTTGGCCATTCGTAATTAAGTATAAATGTATAAATATATGTGTGGAATTCGTTTGAAAAAAAAGAAAATCTTAATTCGGTTGGTTTTTGGGAATTATTCTCAAATTCACAATTTAAAATACAGTTCGAATAGGGGTAGAAATTGGAATGGAATTCTTGATTTCTTCTCATTTTGATCCTTTTTTTTTTTCAACAATAATTTTCATCCCAAAGTCCAAAAATCCATTTCCCATTTTTTTTTTTTGGATCTGAATTGAAATATTTATGAGATTCCAATTTCAATTTTAAAAAATAATTC